GAATGATGAGGTTTTGATATCAGAAAATGGTTCATGGTCTTTGCCAGTGGATTGAGGGTTTTTGTTGTTGCTGCTGCAGTTCTTATATACCTGTGCTATACTCCCACTGCTTACAGTCCTGTGTTCATCCAGGAGCCCTGGATGTTCTTGGCAATTTTAGCTAGGCAATGATTATCTATGCAGGAGAGGATATCTGTGCATTTTACACACTGCTGTGGAACAGCCGCCAGCCTCTCCCCAAGCAGGAACAGTGCCAAGGGAATAATTTCCCCAGCACATATTGTGATATGAATGATGAACAACCCACAGAGAACACTTTTCCAGCAGGTTTACCATGAAAGAAGTTCTTGGCCAATGGCATCAACCATCTCTACTGCTGTGTAAGATGCGAGGGTTTCCCGCGTACAGCTCAGCATAGTAAAGGCTGGAAGGACAAACCTGCAGTTCATTCACAGTTGTTAAGGATGAGGAGGATATGGTTCCCTGTTTTCGTTCAGTTAATCTGAGATGGAATGCAGTCCTTTGCTTCAGGTCTATATTTCATAGGCTCAAACCCCGAGGATGATGAGAATTGCCCCAACAGTTTGTGGCTTGTTTTTGTTTTGCTGTATCCACACACGATACTTTTTCTAGTGGGAAATAAGAGCTGGAATGTTACTGAAGGTTTTAAAACCTACTCATAGAACTGTCATTCAAGTGGCATGAAAGGAATGGATTGCAGGGCAGTGCTAAGGGGGGGGGGGGCTGGCCAGGAGCCCTTCCTTGTGCTCATTGCCTGCAAGGCCTTGGGGGGAGCAGCTGTTGTCAGGGATAAAAATAATAAGAGCAATACTGTGCTGTAAGAGAATAGCACTGATATCTTTCCATCTGTTACAAAATGCCCCAGTAACGTTTTTGTAGGAGTGCATGGTGGGTTTATGGCATTTGCTGTAGTAAATGAAGTTAGAAGGTAAACCCACGGAGTAAGGCTCTTTTCTTTGTGGCTTAATGTCTCTTCATGTAAACTACGGGGCTGCAAAAGCAGTGTTGCAAAGCTGGAATATCAGCTTTGTGATACTGCAGTTCTGGCAAAAGCTGTGCAGTGTGTCACTTTGGTGGAAAAAAAATTGTTTAAAGTCATTTTAAAACATATGAGTCTGAAAGGGGTCACAGCACAGAACTATCTGGGAGTCTTTGGGAAGATGGAAAATAGAGCAAGGCTGTGTCACCATGGCAGCTCGGTGGGACCTCCAGTGAGCAGCACTGCCGTTCTCCCTGCTGCCTTTTGGTTTGCAAGGAGGCTTCTGAGTTATTTTTCAAAGGTCATAATTTATAAAACAGAGGAAAAGAATCAGATTTGGATTTCTGGCCCCTAAGCCTGCATTGGGAGCTCCTTTACACAGCTGGGTTTGGGATCAAATCACAGAAATGCAGTTCTCAGAAAAAAATATAACATGGATGTTAAAAAATATGCTCCTGGAATGTTAAGATTGCAGATCCTTGTCAACATATCTATTTATATAAAATTTACATACTAATTCTAACTTATTCTGAGCGAATATTATATTGCAGAGCATCCTTGCAGCAGCCTTTGGGGGGGGGGGGAGAAAAGCTGTGTTTTAATGTGAAATAGAGAAATTAAAGCACCATTTAACATCTCCTGTTGTACTGCCTTGCTGTTAATGGTAACAAAATCCATTTGTGGCTGCCTTGTTAAATGGCAGCAGAGACGTTTCCCCCTGAATGTTAACATTTCTCTCTCTAAAACTGGGACAACACAGGAAAAAGAGAGGATAACTGGTGCAAGCCTCTATAATTAAAAGTGCTAAGTTTTATTAATATCATCCCATGACACTAACATAAAACAACAGAAAGAGGGCTGTTTTCAGATGCTCCATCTGCAGCAGATATCTGTGATACAAGAAATGCAAAGTTCCCAGGAGTGGGAGAAAATGGAACAGAGAAGTCTGACTTAAATACTTGCTGTCTGATTGCTGCCCACTAAGACCAGCGTCATCAAGGAGAACAATTTCCTCTCTATGGAAAACGTTTGTGGTATGATGCACTTCTTTGTCACCTCTCATGCTTATCTTTTAAGCTATATGGTCTTTTTTTTTTTCCTCACCATTTTATTTTCTGGACGTTCAGGCAATTGCATCCTCTCTGATGATGCTGGAGTGATTTGCACTGCAAAGTCACTTACTGTATCCTAGGAGTGCTGCACTCTCACAGCTGTTTCTTGTGGTTTTATGCCCTAGCAAGATCTTCATCCTCCGTGATTGATACTGAGTGTGTGAATGGTGAGAAATGAAGGGTTTGAGGCTGTTCTCCTATCAGGTAGCAGCAGTGGGTTGACTGAAGAAGCCCTTTAATACTGAACTCATTTCTTAGACCACTTCCCTAGACTTTCAGTCCTGGTCACAATCAGAGATACTGTAAGGCTAAAAGGATGTTTTCTATGGTACAGTAGGGCAGATCCTCCACAACACAGAAGTACAGCCAGATCAATACAAGTTAGAAATGTAGGCTAGAAGTCCAGCTCCTATTTCAAATTCCTTTCCACTGAGATAAATGGATTAGAAATGTTAGAGTAATATTTAAACAACTGAAGGTCACGAAAACAATACTAGGTTAGAAGTCAGTTCTCAGTGTAGATTCACAAAAGGAAGGTCAGCAGCAAAGAATCTGCTTTGGCATAACTGAACAAAAGCCAGGAAACAGAATAACAATTCTCTATTGAGCAAAGCAAAATTGAAATCTTACCTCGGGCCCAAAACAGAACAGCTTCTGTTCCAGCATTTTAAAAAAAGAAATGACATTCTTTTCAGTACGTAATTCAGAGGGCAGACTGCATGGGAGTTGGGGTTGGATGTGGATTTTGGTATCAACCCTGATCCCTTCCAGCTGCAGGTTTGGTGCACACAGAGGAAATCAGGCTGGACAGGTCTGGCATCTCTCTGCTGCACAAATAGTAGGCAGGCAGAGCTGGATGGTTTCTCACATCTCTATTCCAGTCCAGGATGTAAACACTGCATGTTTCCTGAGTGAGGTGGTGAGGGCTGAGCTCTGCAGAGTTTTGACCCCTGTGTGTGGCTTAGCAGATTGGGACAACAGAAGCAGGAGCCACACAGAGCTCTGCAGAACACCACAGCAAGCTGTGGCACTGCCAGGGGAGTCGTTGGGTCTTTGCTGGGGTGGCAAACTGGAGTTAGATTGAAAAAGCAGCAACCAAATTAAAACTGCATCTGAGGAGATGCTGAGAACAATTAACTGCTGGAGAGAGTCTGTAGTGGGTTTCCCAGACAACCACAGCTCACGAAAATTCTGTTGCTTTTCTATTGATGTCATTGGCAATTTTTTTATTCATGATGTTTTGTCCAATGAAAAATAAGTTTCTGGAGAGGAGGAATGGAAGTCACTGCAAGTATAATTCAAAGAACCACGTGCTGCTGAGAAAAGTGACAGCTTGCTGCCAGCTAAACTGGTATTTTTGTCTTGGTCTTAAATATGCTTGCAGCAGTTATGGGTTCCCATTGCAAACAGGAGTGCTGATGTCACACTGCATGAAATACTAACATTTAAAAAATGGTTGGGGAAGTCCAAGTGTTTGCAAGTCCACCTGCTCAGCTGGGAAAGCCATGAAATTGGCTGTTTCAGGTCAACAAGAGCAAGCAAAGTCCCATTCACAGCCACTGCTTGTACTGTTCTGATCTGGGATCCCAGATGAAGAAATGATTTTGGATTATTATGGATTTCCCCACTAAGTACCTGCCCTGTCACGCTGCTCTCAGCCCAATATGAGTACCATGGGTAATTCTCAAAGACAGTACAAGTGAGAACACTGGTGGTGTTTGGTTTGGTACCAGTTCTGCCAGGATGCTGACTCACAGTGACAGCTTTTCTTTTTTTTTTGGTTCAGTTGAAGCAATGAATCATATTTGCATGAGATGGGTAAAAAGTGATGAGAATTCACTAGCTCTGTTCCAGATGTGGGGGTAAATAGACCAAAGGTAATGTAGCCAGCTGTATCTCCTGCACAACATGCAAGCTATACAGTAAATCAGGCTAATTTCTGGTAGTGATAAGTGGAGGTTATTGTGTTGGTATGAACCTAAAGCAAAATTAAGGTGTGCAGATTGAATTTACCACCAGCTTTCAGTTCAGGACTGGCAACCTCCTGCATTTTATTTGGTTGTTTAAATCCACCCCCAAAGCAACAAGTTTTGACCTAATGAAATTCTGCAAATGGAGAACTTCAGGGCATTGGTCACACATGCTCACAAACACTGACTGCACAGAGAAGGGCTTTGCTCTGTTTCTGTTATCAGAACAGGCAGGAGAATCTGCAGCAAGGCTACATTCATTGAATGACTTTGTAAAAAGAATTGTTTGGTTGACATCTGATATCTATTAAATACTTAGACAATCTATTAATTCCTCAAATCTCTGAATAGGAGGTCAGATTTTACAGCTTTCTTTTAGCTGAACTACAGCAAATGCACAGAGTCAACACGATGCCAGTAAATGGCATTTACATCCACTGTTCAGGTGTGTTAAGTTGGAAACAGGGGGACTCAGGGCCCCAAGAACACAAACTCTTACACTGAGATTAACCTCTAGTGGCTCTAACTACTCACTGCTTAGCACTAGGCATTGTATTTTAGTAGGCATTGTATTCTTCTTTAGCATCACTGTTTCCTAAATATAGGATGTCATAATATTTACCTTGCACAGCTCTGTACCTCGCTCCTTCCTGCCCCTGGGAATGATTGATGTGCAGTCTCGTTTTTGAATCTGAAACATGAATTTTAAATGAAAGAGGACTGTAGCACAGGGACAGCTTGTTTTCCTTATTATGGAGATGATTTTTAATAGGGCTGCTTCTGCTCCTCCAACTGAAAATGGCATTGTGGAGATCTGCTTCCTTGGGCAGTGTGCAGAAACCCTTATTTCCTCCCTGCCAAAAAGATTTTCAGGTGTGAAAGTCAGCTGGCCATCGGTTCTTCAGTGGAAATGAAGGATTAAAGTCCATTCTGTCTGCTGTAGTTGAAGTCAGGCTCCTCGATCTCAGTTTCTGTTATGTCTGAGATTTTAGAGTGTGTCCTTCCTATTTCCTCCAGCGCACAGGCGAGGGAGTCGAGGTCTCCATCGTGTTGGTGTCGGGCTTCCCAGAGGTCCAGAATCACTGCAGATGGGCTGCTTTGTGTGGCAAAATAGGAGAGATTCCTGAGAGGAATAGGGAAAGGTGGAACAGACAGATCAGAATAAAGAAACCTGCAGCAAGATGTAGTTGGATGAATAGAGGGAATCCTAGTGAACAGCTCTTATGTGCATATGTGTGCAGTACAAGTTTAGCTTTGAAGTCTCTTATAGCAAAGCTCCTAACAGTTTCAGAACTATGAAAGAACATCCTGTCCAGAATGAGGACTTAAAGCCAGAATGTCACTCCTGTCAAGTGAAACCTCGATGTCAGCAGAACTACAGCTATGGCAGTGCTCCATTTTCTGATTATTATTTTTAAATAGATGGTGGAAATATGATGATGATGTTAATAGATTGCAGCTGGATGAAGGTTGGTGAAGTCATGATTTTTGCTCTACCCTCTAAATTTTATCATTTCATGTCTACTTATTTAAACTGCTTGAGAACAGTCTTTTTCTACCTCTGAATTTGATTGATAAAAGTGCATGCTGCACCATCCAAATGCATCCAAGGGAGAATCAGAAGTTAAAGAACTGTCACAAACTCAGTCTTGCACAAACCATTGTAATCTCTATTCTGCACTGTCCTTCAGTTTCCTGAGAAAGCCAAAATTCCTCAGGATTGAAGAGCATGACAATGCATAGCAAATGCTGCCAGATAAAGCACAGTGCTGTGACTCACTGCTGCCTGCCTGAAACTTCATTCTCTTCTTTGGTTTGGTTTTGATTTATTGACAACCCTGTGAAAAGGAACTCATCAATAGGAAGTTGTTTTGTTTCATTCTCTGTGCTCCTGGGCACCTACTCATGGAGGTGGTGACAATCAGAAACTATTTGAGTCCAATGCCTTCCCCGGTTCCATTTAGCCAAGTGGGAAATGCAAAATAAGCAGTGAGTGAGTTTTTAAAGTGCCTTTCAGTTTTAATAATCATAACGTTATTGCTCCTAACAGTAGAGTGTAACTTTCTTTGAAATACGCTTTTTCCTTAGAAAAAAAAATCTATAAAACCCATAATTCAGTTTGGAGATGGCAGCCACACAACAGCTGCTCAGCTGCTGTGTTCACAATCATTTCTGAGTGCTGTTCTGACCCACTCTGGTGGGTTACAACCTGAGCTCAGAATAACACCAGGTGGGATGGTTCAGAGTGGAAGGCAGGTCCTGCTTTCAGTCACTAGTAGTATATAAAAGAACATACCAACTGCAGTTTATCCTTGAGAGTAAGAAAGGCAATTACTATTTATGCATCCTTAATACCAGCAAATGAAAAAAAACCCATAACACAATAGCAGCAAAATTATTCTTGTTGCATATGTAAATGTTCACCTTTCAAAATTGCTTCCCATTACCTGCTGATGCTGTTTTTCTGTGCTAGCATCTGCCAGTCTTTGCCTTTGGCATTGGGTGTGTCAAATGTTGCACAGATTCTTTGTCTGATGGAGTATGGGATTTTAAATGCTTTTGCACCCATCTGTGCGGGGAAGTTGCTGTCATCATGTGCAAAGAAAGCAATGGTTTCTCTTTCATTCTATACAGAAGATAAAAGCAAAGCAGTTAGTGCAGCACCAGGTTCTGATCTGGAGATCTGCAGGCAGCTCTCCATTGCAGAAACAGTACCATCAATGGTCCTGTTCAGGAGCCAGAAACTGAGACAGGAGTTTTGCATGGCCTCTTCAAGTACCAGAGTACTGGGAGTGCACTCTTATGCAAGGATCTGCCTGCAAGCAAAGCATACATCTACATACATACATGTCTACATACATGTGCTGCTGCCCCAAGGCTGCTTGTGGACAGAGAATGCATCCAACTGGGTCTGAGGTCCCCCTGATAGTTTGCAGACGTGACAACAGAAAACCAAACAGCCAGGAGGGTGTTTTACCTGACTTGTGAAGGAACTTTCTAAAGCGTTCAAAATAGTGTCATTTTTCTTTCACAGGAGTTTTGTTTATGGTGGGGTTACAAAGTGGGATAGAGCAGTGACAGGTCAGTTGCATATGCCTAAAATACAGACACCTAAATTCTTTATCAGTGGAATTCAGGTTCTTTTGGTGGACTGGGCCTGTTCTGTTCCTATGCAATTATACCAGACTTGTGTAACAGTCCCACTTCCATGCATTACTTGTTTCAGTGCAATGCGACATAAATATTAAATAAATGATGCTATAGTCTCTTCATATAACATTTATGACACATTCCAAAAGTCATCTGTGCAGAGTACTAGAGGTGCTGCACATATATCACAATGTCTGTCTGTTCAAATTAAACCTGCAGAACAATGGTAGGTTTCATACCCTGCACTTGTGAGATAAGCTGCTGCTACCTGGTTAGTTTGGTGCATCTTAAAGCTGTGAACGATTCAAATACTCAGTTGTTGATTATATTTGCTTTACAGTCTAATTATCCCCACTTTTCTCTCACCTTTTCAGAAAGCTGTGTCAGCACATCTGCTTGAGGGGACAACTGTGGCACTCTGAGGCTTTGTGGACAGGTATGTCGCTCTGTTTTTTATCTGAATTACATTAGAGGTTTTCTTATTTAGATCTACATTCTGTGCATATTGCTGTTTGCACACAGACACAGACCTTTAATCCAGAAGTTTCTGAATACTTTCTAAACAATCAGCAAAGATGCTGACTAGCCAAAGCATCTTAGTTCTCCTAAGTTCCATAAGTTCTCCTTGCCCTTTGGAGGCACTGCCTGCTTGAACACCATTGCTGTGGCTAAACAGCATCCAGGCAAGCTATTCTTCTTTAAACTCTCAAGATACTCAAAAACTTTCCACAAGAGAAATATGACCATCATCTCACATACGTATAAATTATTTTTAGTGTTCTAGAATCTCAGTAAATGCTGGAAATAGAACCGAATGCTCTGTGCTTGTTGCAGCGTCAAACAGGGCATGAGAAATGCCAATGAGGTAGAAGGGGCAAAAACAGGGCACAGTTTGTCTCATGCTACACAGCCTGACAAAAGAAAATGAAAAGGAAAGGATGCTTTACCTCGAGGATGGATGTCTGGATCTGTAGGATTTGCTCGTGCCCCTTGACTTGCCGGACGCAGATCTTGCAGGACAGCTGTGTGGTTGCAGGAGTGTAACGCTCCAGGGAGAAGGCACAGTGCAGTGGCTTCTGGTTACTGCACCACACACGGGAGAATGGGACCTCCTGGGAGAGAAACAGCCCACCAGAATGGGGGAATGAGTGAGATGCTGGATCTTCCAAGAGGTAAAGATGCCAGGAAAACAGCTGCTGTTAACTCTGGGTGTTGCCTCTGGTTCTTACCATGCTCACCGCAGCCCCTTCCTGCTCTATCAGCCCAGTTCTCAAGGTTTCCCCTTACTTATGTATCTGTATGGTGCGAAGGATGCCAAGCACTGAGCACCTGCTCCTGCAGAATGGCCAGGACAAACAAAGGCACTAACAATTTCTCTGGGCTATGCTGTCTGCCACCTGCTATAAACTGCTTTAACACTGCACTTTTCCATGGTGCTGATTTGTCCCTTCAAGCCTTGAAATGGATTTTGCTAATCTGAGAAATCATTAACATAAATCATTTCCTCATCGTAGTGTCTGACAATGGTTTCACTGCATCAGCTCTCTCAGTTGTTCTAGACAACCCAAACTTAAAGCCTTGCTATGTGGAAGAGAAATGAGTAAACACTCCAAGGAGCCACAGCAGAAAACATTTCACTGTGCCAGTGCAAGTTGGTCAGCAGTTTCTGTTAAGAAACAATCATCATCTTCCTCAGCTGCCGTTCAAATGATACTCAATTATAAAATGCAAATGTTTCTTTGCCTTCAGTATCAGCATTGTGGCATCGTTCTGCCAGCAGAGGATCTTCACACCCTTCTCAGAAACCTCGAGTCCTTGCTGTGCTTCCTCAAAGCAAACACAGCCCCACAGTCTTCAATGATCAGACAACAAATCAAAAGACAGGGCTGTTTTTATAATACAAGTTGAGGCAGAACCTGATTTGTTGTATTAATAGAAACCTACCATGTCGTTACATTGAAGACATGTTTTTTTGCTGAAAATCAAGATGAAAGACATCTGTATTTTAAAACACCACCTCACTCTATTTGCCAGCACATGGCTTATGGCTTCCAGTAACCAATACATTTGAAATTCATCTTATGTTTTGATTTACACTTTCCTGTTTTCAACAGCCTCTCTAATTAATGTCTTACAGGAAAAGTAATTTGCTCTTCATCAGTTCTAAGAATGCGTGTGCTGTAATTTGAAGTCATGACATTTAAATTCTGACATATATCCTCTCATTTTCAGCCATACATTCATAATTATACTGAAATTGGAATGACAAAGATATCAAAAATGTTTTCAGTAGCAATAAACACCATTGGAGGTAGTTTAAATAAGGAAATGCACAAGCTGGCTTTCTATTAAAAGATACTTGTTAAGTATTCTGCTGCATTTGAAATGTTTCATTCTGCTTTTGACAAAATCATAATGCAATGCATTTTTATAGCATCTCAGAGATTAAAACCACACCGTTCAAAAATAATAGGGAGAGTTGTCCTGTTATGCTTGTGCCAGTGGAAATTCTTACTGCCTCCGAATTAAAATGCAAACAATTAAAATGGGCAATTACCTGACAGGCAGTAAAAGGTTTGATTCTCCAAAGGAAAGGAGGGATATCGAGGACAGATATCTGGAGACTGAAGGTATTCCCTTTGAAATGCAGAAGTTTGGGTTCATCCAGTAATTGTCCTCCTTGGAGCCTTTCATCCAAAACCACTTCCTGCAATGGCAGAGGAGAAAAGAATTCTTTACTATTAGAAACAAACACCAACTGTGATGAAAATTCATCTCTGTGAAAGGAACAGAGGCCATCCACAGCAGTGGGGTGTTTCTGTCACACAGTGGGCTCTGCCATTTGAGTTCCACCACTGGACTTCCGGGGATGCTGTCAGGCTCTGTCAGCTCTTTTGCTGTCCTTGATGCTACTTAGGATTATTTTCTTGACTCCCTCAGTGTCAATGCCAACACACCTTCCCTAGGACTGCAGTAATTGAGAAAGAGACCACAAGGGTCCTGCAGCTCTTTAACGCCTGTTTTCATGTTTCAGTTCCAAGTTGAAGCTGGGCTTTTCCACTGGAAGTTACTCTGGTGGTTCTGCTGCACGTCACAGTTTGAGAAACAAGATTATTTTTATACAACTCGAGAAATTATAGAACATTATAAAACTGTACATTAAATATTAACTAAAAGCATATAAAAACATAAAAATTACACTACTTAGAATTTCATTTTTATGAAATGCTATAAAACTGCTACACAATACTAAATGATTACAGCTAGGGCTTATTCATAACCAGTGCTGAGTCACTGAACTGTGAACATGAGAGCCAGATTTCCTTTTATATGTTCAACAAATACCTGAAGAAGGAATTTGGGCAGTCTGAATTTCAGGCAGATACATCCAGGAAAATACTTCCAGCCCACAAATTGTGTGAATAATATAAAGGATATAATTACAAAGCCATTGTAAATCTTTAACCATCCTTTCAGTGGCTTTGATTTTATTAGAGCACAAAGGCGTTAGCGTGTGCTCCATTAAGATTTGTGTCTTTATTCTGCACAATAGGAAGAGGAAGTAAAAAATTTGGTTACAACCGTTTCCATTTCAGCTCTCAAAAGAAAAACACTTTGTTAAAGCTTCTTGAATCACCATGGCTACAATAGCCTGTGAATCTTATTGTTTTGCCTTGGAATGCAAAGTCATACTAATTTTAATTTACGCTTGGGGATTTTTTGGTTTAATTGTTTTTTTTTTTTTTTTAAAGGAGAAATGCACAACTATCTTTTCCTACAAGAATTTAATTATAAGAATACAATCTCTTCTTGCTCATATTATAAAAAGGAGAGAAATCCCTCAAGTGATTAATGACAGCTAAGGGTAATGAGCGTGATAAGGAATACACATCACAGTTCCGAATTGCTGCTGCAGCCCTAGGGATAAAGAGATGCTAATATTCTATAGGGTGAAAAAAAAAAATTAAAACCAGAACATCCACGTGAAATTACGTACCTGAAATGCACAAGGTGTGTTATCCATGCAATACACTCTCAGATTGTAATCCAGAGAATTGCAAGACAGGCAGCCAAAAACCGCTACTTTCAGCTGTCGGACGGCACACTCAGAGATGGGTTCTCCAATAAGAGCGTAAGTTCCAAAGCTGTTTAAGAGAATGTGACAGGCATAAGGATCCAGCAGGCAGTAGCAGGAAGTAGTTTCCTCTTCCACAGACATCACTTCCTGCAAAATGAAATTCAAGTTTAAAAAACAACCACCAACAAAAAGGCTTTGATAATAGATGTCATGGCATCATTTGTGTACAACTGGAATGCAAAGTTATTCCCAAGAGCCAGCTTCGTGTCCTTAAACTCACGTTGATCTCAAAGAATGAGGAAAATTGTCTAACTATGCAAGTGAATAGTCTCCATTTAGCCCTGAATCAGCAAGAGGATTTCTGGCAATACATTGTACAGAATTCAATGCATACAGCATATAATAATGACAATGCCTAAGCAATTTGAGCTTCTTTTTTCAAGTGTTCTTGACTCCCTATCTAATTTTTTTCCCCCAGTGTCAAGGTAAGAAATTACCTTGAAGATTGAAGTCAATAAGCAAACCTTGAACAATCGCAGGTATTTGACATCCTTTCAGAACATCCGCTACAGTTGTTTACCTTCATCAAAAAACTACCTAACCCACTCTTTTGCATTTCATGCTTAGTTCTGCATTACAGCATCGTTAGGTATCTGAGCAAGCTACAGCCTGGTGTTATGCTCCTCATTAATTCTGGGCTGCTTGTAACTGACACTGATGGGGCTGACAGTGGATTGAATTAATTTTATGAGGAAAACGAAGCTGAATTTGAAATGGTTTAAACAAGAGCCACAACAATATGGTGGTTTACAGGAGGAAAAGGATAGAGTTAAGGTATCCACAAGTGTTTTAATGACTCTTTGTTTCCTTTACAATGCAGGGAATCAAACAGTTCCATCAGGAGCAGTACAATTAAGTGCTGACCCTTTTCCTCTATCTTTCAGTTCAGCGCTCGAACAGAATTCAACTACTTTGAAACAAAATGCAAAATCTGTTTCACTTTTTTTTAGAAGGAGAAAAAATGCTTCCTTTAAAACTGTTTTGATTGTTCTGTCCCTTGCACCACCTTTAACCAGCTCCTGCCTGATTAACAGCAATCATGTTTTCCATTTAGTGTATATAACTTTTCAGGGGGAGCAGAAGGATGAACGTACCTCCCATTTTCCCTGCTGAGTCCTTTTCTTCAAGTGGATATTCCAGTGCTCTGGATTTACTTCTGCACAGTGTGGGATAGTCAAGGCAAACGGAGAGCTGACAGAGACATCTGAAGGGCCACATGTCACTTCTGGTCCCAGGAGGACATCTGGGCCTTCTGGCTGTAGGCTGAGGATGAATAACAACGCTTAAGGACCTTTTTAAATGAGTGAAAATGTACTCACACTAACTGCAATACCAATTTTAAATGTTTTAGTTAAAAATCCAAGTAAGTGCTTCGTTCATCTGTTGCAGAAAAGATAAGCAAGCCAAACTAGAGCACTAATTTTCATATAGATTTGGTAGCAGGAAGTGAAACAGAACTATTGGGCCACAAGTACTTAAATCATTGGCTGCCTTTTTAGGTTCTGGTCTTTAAAATACATTTTGATTTGCTTAAACAAAATGAAACACTGGAAACTATACAAGTAAGCCTCGTGTTGTGCACCAGCTGGTAGTGCTACCATCTAATTCTGCCTGCAAAGAATGCCATGAACAGTATTTCCACAGCAGTGAAGATTAAACAATATTTCCCCAGAGGAGATGTGAATAGAGTTTTGGTTAAGTTGTGCCATTGGTGACGATTCCTATCTAAAAAAAACTCTGATTTTTCAAGGCCCAGGAATGGAATAAAACACTGCAGATACAAACAGTTCCCCCCCATCACCTCTGTTCCTATCAACATATATCTCATACCAACCTAAGCGACAGCTAAACCATTCCCAATTAACCTAAATCAGAACAATACCATCCTTGTTCTCTCCAACACATTTTATATTGACCTCAAATCCTTACAAGAACCACAGAAGTCTCCATTCTTGCATGCATCTTCTTATGTGGTTAACTCCTGTGTTAAATTAAATTGCACTGAGCACGATACGATGTGCACAAGGTTTCATTCAGAATCTACAACACGAGCTGCTGTATTTTTAATGGTTATAATTCTTCTGCTGGTGAGGTACAGCACAGCTATTCTCTCCCTCAGTTCAGATGGGTGAAAGATGCATCAACATTGCCTCAACTGGCAGTAAAACAGCCTGTGATAATTTTCTGTTGGGTTTGCTCCCTCCGTTTCTGCCCACGATAAAAAGGAAAGCAGTAGGCAAAATTTGCTGCTTGTATTTAATTAACCTATTTTAACTCCCTTCTGCAGAACCATTGCAGATAAAACAGCTGTGGGTTTGTTGTTTTGTCCCCCCCTCCTCCCCCCCCCACTTCTTCTTCCCTTCCTTTTACATATCTTAATATTCCACTGAGAATGATCAAAAACCTGTAGCAGCAGATGGGGACAGAATAGGAAAGTTCTCACAAAGGAATTCAGATAAGAGGGGGAAGAAAAATTAGAATAGATTTCAGACTAAGTTTCAGAAAATAGTTCCAAGCTGTAAAATTCATAGGAGCTTTGTATGATTCAGTTTGCTCTCTTCAATTCATTTCTTAAAATCTACCTCACAAAAAAAATAAAATAAAACCACACCAAAAAAACTCCTACAAAACTAAAACAAGCAACACATTTGAAAACAAAGACTATGTTCCACCAATCCTGGCAGCTAAAAGCCAACTGGGAAGTAAACATTTCTGTAGGAATGACTGTAAAAAAAAAAAATCTAAAATAACCTGCTTCTCTGACTGTGCTTTGTCATAAAAGAAAGGAGAGGACTCAATCCCAAGCATCTGACTTGGGACCAAAATCTCTCTGCCTTCTAACATGAATCGAAGGCCACTGAAGTGATTGCAGCAGAGTTGATGAAAACACCCACAGCTGCTGCTGGCAACAGAATTTAAAGCCATGTATCTAACAGAGCATCGTACGTCACAGCAGTGTGGCCCTACCAGCACCACTGAAGACAGATGTTCCATTCCTATAGACAATGTTCACATGAAATCCATGAGATGAGCCACTTGCACACATTCTGCATGCTACTGACATTGGCTTTTTACATATGTTTTACCTGGACTCTCTTGGGTTGATAGCAAGATAGATCTCCCATGAGCTCTCTTCAGGAATTGCACCATGTGGCACCAACAGACTGACGCCTACAACAGAGCAAAGGCAGAAGTTACCTTTGGGAAAGATGCTGAATGTAAAGCTGAGTTTAAAGGAAACCCTGAGTAAAGATCACGAGAATTCAAACAATAACCTGTTAGTTAGAAATGGGGGCATCCAGCCATTATAGAAACTATTGAGTGTGAGAGTTTATTCAGCACCGTATGAACATGGTGGTGTAGTGCAAACATGCTGCAGGAATATGATCTCAACATCCTTTATTTGATGTTATATGTTCCCAGCTAATTTAACTGAAGTGAAAGTCTCAAATTCTGTCTCACAAAACTCTCAAGTCACAAAACAAACTGTACTTCTTAAACAATGCAAATTGAGCATTCCTCTTGCAATGCTTCAGTGCATAGCCCAACCTTGAAGCGCTCATCTCAAAGAAAGAGAAAACCAGAAAGCCAGGAGCACGGTAATGAAAGCCACACTAGAGTTCTCCTATTTCTCCTGAGACACCTTAATTGTTATGTGCTGCAAACTTTAATAATATAATGAAGCCTGACAGTGTTAGTGCAGTCAGGTGCTGATGTGTGTAGACTCTGCTTTGAATTTGACCCCATTATCTGAGATCCTGATCCAAGAGCAATTTCCTTTCTGGGGAGTGCTTCGTTTGGATCAAGATCGAAGTGAGCTACAGCTTTGATTAATATAACTTTCATGCTAAAGACATCAAGAGGTGGTAATTTGTAGCAGTTCAAATAGGCATAATACATCTTTACTGCTGATCCCAAGCTTTGTTTTTTATCATAGCCACCTCCTGTGTGGGCAAGAGGCTCTACTTCACAGACTTTGCATTATGGAAGCTTTTACTTTTTACGTATTTAATTCATAGAATGAATGGATAGAACACTGCATCAAGCAAAATGAATTTCGTATAAAATCATGTGCTATTGATAAGAAAGGATCTACTCACCTGTATTAGGAACCACTAAACGACCTCCCAGGTGTCCAAAGATAGCAGTTGTCTTCAGCTCATTTCTTGTTGAAATTGAAGACAGGTTCTGAATATATGCAGCCTTGTTTCTAGCCTGCATTGTTCCAAAACCTCTAGCATTCCCATGAGGAAAAGTTCCAGAATGTGCCTTTCCATGATATTCAGCCCTCTCTGTCACCCCTAGGGAAACCATGAACGAACTCTGAACTTTGACTTTGATGTCTGACAGTGGGTTAAACAGTGAAGACTCTGTCATTAGCTCCTTGTCCATTGGATCCTGCAGGCAGATAGGTCCACTGTACGTTCTGCTCACTGTCAAGTCAGGCTGCATGGATGAATTCAAAAGCAGGGAGTTACCTGGTGAAATGAAGTGGATCAGGCAGTTAGTTACTGTATTGTACAGCGTGTAGTGAAGCAGAATAATACACCTAGATAACACACTGCTGAAGAAATGATACTGCGGATAGGGAACAATCCATCCATTTTGTGCAGATCTTCATAAAACACAGAGAAGTGGGAATGTGGAATCTTGGACTGCAATCCCAATCATGCACTGAATTTGAGTTACAATCCTGAAATGAATAAATGTCTTTGATTTAAACTATGCCCTTAGGTTACAAGAGCTGCATTTACACTGAGAAGTGAGAAATAATAGAGGCATGGGTCTAAGTAGCCTAAGACCCATGACTCATGTCTGATTCATGTATCGTGACTGGTGGTGGTGTGTTTTCTTTATTAAACAGCACTGGAAATGTTTACATACTGTATGATATTCCATGCACACCTGCCTCAGTGCCCCATTAACCCAACCCAAGTTCCAGCCTGAACTGTGCCACTAAGCCTGCTGCAGCTAATACCTCCCTCCTTAGCAATGTCTGGAGCTTAAATCACTCCGCACTCGAGAGCTGCCTGCAAATAAAAAGTCAGGCCTGTATTTCACTGTCACTTTCAGTGAACCATTAGATGCATTTGTAAATCCTAAGCAGTACTCAGCTGCACTTTGATTTCCCCATCTATAAATTGGAGCTAGACAGGTAAGACTTAAGAGATCTCTCTGATGTGCATCTAATGCTAACTTGTTTGATGCACTCAGCACACACTGCAGCCCTGGGAAAAATAATTGTATTTGGAGAGTAAAAGCTCTCTTTGCTCTGTTCTATGCAATATAAAAGAAAAGTACCAAAGTAAGCACTGGAAATTTACATAACTGAGCTTTAATTCCTTGTATCAGACATCTCTTCCTGACCTCACCATCATTTCCTTTTTGATTTACTCTTCTTCCCTGGCAGCCTCAAATCTTAAAATCAAAGAGGACGATGTTGAGACCCAGATGAAACCATGCAGAAGATCCATCAGGTACTTGATCACTATTCTGCACTTCAGGCAATTCCAATGTGCATAAATCCATGAAGGAACTTCTGCTCTGTTCTGGATTTGGTTCTGTGTGTGTGCTTTTGTCTTTAATTACAACCCATTGGGTAGAGCTTTTTGGTGAGCTTGCACAAAAGGACAGCTTCATGCCTGAGGAAAAGTGGACTGAAAGTAGGACAAGACTAATAAGGGGAGGAATATCACAGCTGTCCATCCAGGAGCATTCTAGCTCAGATAACTTCCTGTGAGTCACAAACATCAGCACAGAATCTAATGACAGTATTTCTGAAGCGCATAAAGCATGGTCAAGAAAGACTGTATGTCCAAATTGCTGTGACAAATCAGTAACAGACTAAAGAAGACATCACTGTTCAACCCCCAGATCCCACTCCACATGCCAGATCTGCCCTTCCCTGGCTCCAGATGTGTCTGCCTTAGCTTTAGGCTGGAATGCCCTCCTGCAGCTAGTCATCGCATATGAGCTTAGTATCTCTTTGTAGTAGGGGCTCTGGAGAGAAGAAAATGAAATCACAACACTAACCTTGTCTGACTGTCTTAAAATTAAATGTCTGGAAGCCTCCTGTCAGTGCAGATGAATCAATCACATCCACGCCGTACTCACTCTGACTCCGTCTGTAAAGGGTAACACCAACCACCAGCACAGCTACAGCAATCACTGCTGCTCCCAGGCCAGAGTACAGGGCAATGTCACTGGCTGTCTCTATATCTGAAGGAGAAAAAAAAGTGAGTACTGAGTCAGTAACACTCATGAAAATGCCCATTGTGTTCCTAGCAATGGGGATTGTCCGCAGCCACAGACTCACGGCCAGAGGAATAAAGCTTGAGGCATAAACCTGGGGCAGATCACAGCAGGATAGAACACTGAGGAGCAAGCATTTGAAAGCATGAACAAATTTCCTGGTGCCTCATTCTGTGTACTAAGCTTATATTGATTTAGGAGTTGCATCATGGTATTTGAGGTTTTCTTGAAGTGGGATAGTTGGACTTGTAGCAGTCAGAAGCAGAGTGCTTACCACTAAATACCTTCTCCCCTCAGCACACCCTGCTAGCTCAGGCTGTGCACTCAGGTCTGCCATCTTTTACCATTCTTGCCCAGTGGAGATCATTAAAGTATGGTAATACAGCCCTTAGAGGGGAGAACATGGAAGAACTGAAGCCAGGGGGAGTTGTTTTATGTACCGCAGGATTTTCATTTACTGACGGCTTCCAGGGACATGTAAGTTTTTTGTTTTCAGTTCTAGAACTAATCCAGGATGCCATAAATCCTCTGAAAAAAAAAAATGCTTAGTGAAGATTTTCCCTTCCTTCCCTTTTTACTTTTTGTGAGCTTTAGTTTAAGGAAGAACAATCCACCCTCTCAAAGCTTGAAGAATGGCTGACAGTATCCTGCATATCTTGGTGGAATCCTGCTGTTGGAAACAAGCTGGAACACAAAGCCTTTCCTCTGACCACATCCACAAGTTAAGCTTACAACCAACTCTCTTAAGACTTCCAACTTTTTACAGCAGAGAAGAGGAATTTCTTTTTTTGAAAGAATGCACCCAAATAAAACCTGCAAATATTATGTAATTGAATTATCCAGTCCCGCTGTTCTAGATCTCCTGGGATTTAGGACCACATACCATGAAATTAAACTACCTGGAAGTGCACATAGTGAGTCTTCAGACAGCTCCCTTAATGCCAAACTCCAGCTTAGAGGAAGAGATAATGGTGTATGTTCACCCAGTGCATCACCTGCTATCTCACTCCACTCCACTGTAGAGTGAGATAGAATAGCACCTTCTTGCTATCAGGTGAGGAGCATGTTGGTACAAAACATGCATTTATAACAAATGACAGTGACAAAAAATACTCAGGAAAAACAGACTATTCAGTACCACTGAATATGTATGGTAGGAAGTCAAATCCAACATGTTAAGTGAAACTACTTCATGTTTGGGAGGAGGCTTCTGCTGTGCATCTTATTTTTTCTGGAGTCAGATAACTTTATTTCAGCTGAATTCTTGAACATGAAACGACAAACCACTGAAATGGAGGAAATTATGACCTATGGGCAGCATTTGAAAAGCTGGTGTTTGTGGCTCACCAGTTTCCCACATGAACGACATGGCTGACAACAATGCAAAGCTGAACTTCCTAGGAAGGCACAGCAGCTGCCAAATGCAATCATGAAGTTCAACTGTATTCTAACAGAAATAAAAAACACCATTCGAATTGCAGCAGCGAGGAAACAGAGTAGGAAAACACTGCTCTAAGTAGGCTGAGGCACATAGAGATTTGCTATTTTCAAATAACCTCATACTGAAAAACATTCCAATTTTTAACATGTTTGCAATCTGCTAAAAAGGAAAACAACAACAAAAGCACCACCGAGCTTTTAGTTAGTGCAAATATCAACTTCCAGGAGACATCCATCCGCTGTGGCCTCTCACGACAAGTAATCACAACTGAGAAACCTCAGAATAAACAGCTCAGTTCCAAATTCACAATTACAACACGCTTTTACCAAATAAATTACGGAGAAAAAGATTTCTTTTTCTGCACCGTTTTGCAATTTTTAATTCCCGAAAGTAAGCTTTTAGCTGACAATGGAAATGTATCAGAATAACAAAGGGAGTTGCCTCTCTTCTACATTTTCCATCTGAAATAAACACAAGACCACTAGGGCACAAAGGAAGACCCTGGAACTACCTCAAACCAAGAATACTTGAATCCCAATCCAACACATGAATCACATACTGTCGTACCTCCATTTTATTCTTTGGCACCACATGCAGAAAGTACAGAAATTGTTCATGTTTCCATCCTTCCAATTTACTATTTCCAGTCTATTTTCTTGTTACGGGGAATTAATTGTGATACTTCATCACCAGCTTCACTTTTGTAGATTGGTACAAACAAGTCAAGGGAAAGAGTGGTATTTGTCTCCAACAAACAAATGGGAATCAGTTGGCCAATGATGGGTTAAGAATTGCATCCTCCCAGCCCTGATGTGTCTGCTGCTAAGGGCTTCAACTTTTACACATTTCAGTTACAGGACACACGTTGGTGGTAATTGTAGCCTATATTTCACTCCACCTTCTGACACTGTTACACAACATTTATTGAAAGCACATTTGATGGTAATGAAGTTTCTATTAACTATGATTAAGTTTTCTACAGCACCTGAAGATAATTTAAGATGCGCAGGAGCAGAAAATGAAACATTTGGTTTAGTACATTAGGAAATGTAATTGATTAAATTATCTCATTTACAATAAGTGCTTTCCAGGAGATATGCAAGGCGTGTATTTCCCCCAGTCTCCCATTAGAGTTTGCTAGGAGATTGGAAAGATTCTTTCTGCTTCCCATCCTCCCTTATTTTCCACCTCCCTTACTTTTGATGCCCCTTAGCAACTCGAAATCCATTGCTTCACACAGCTAGTCCTTGAGAGTAAGGACCAAAAGTCAGAGCATAATGTAAAGGCTAGTTAGTAGAACAGGTTGTTTCTCAATTATCTTCATAATTGACTTTGATTTTGCATCAGTGATGATTCATGCAGTCTTAAACGAAGTTCCTGTTTCACTGAATAGCAGCAAGCTGTACGACATGCTTCTAACCCCACAGCTAAAGAAACCATTTAATTCTCTAAGGAACCTTACGTGCTAAAAAATCAATGCCATTAAGGCATTTTTTTGGTTTTTTTTTTTAATAAATCAAAAATTAAAGCAATTTAACTAATGTTCTTTCAAGACTCTCTAATTAAATGGGAACGGCACAGATGTACAAAAATGCATCACTTGCATTCAGTCTCACACAGATCGGTTGGTGCGACCCAGCAGGAGGCAGTTCCAGGAGCACAGAACATGGGATGCACCTCCCATGAAATCCCATAATGGGATTCCTGTGACAAACACACAATTCAGATTCATCACAGAAGACTCTCTCTTTAAAGAAGATACAATTGCATCCACTACATAGGATGCAAAGGACAAATGGATTCGTGTTCCAAGTCCTTCAAAGGAATTAAACAAAAAAAATGTATTTATTAATCTAGTTATTTATTAGTCAAAATTCAAAGAAATTTTGTCGAAAATTAAGCAGTGAGTAATCCTCAAAATGCTGTATAAGGTTTGTAAGAGAAAAGCAACATCTTAGCTTTAAAAGAGAATAGGCCTCATGGATGTTGTGACTTTGATGGAAGGGCGCCTTCTCTTTTAATGAAATCTTTCAATTAATCAATCCAAACCAGAGGTACCACTCTTATTTTAATTAAAATTCCATTGAAAACAATGGAAAACTGAGAAACAATGCAGGATGGGAGCTCCTGAAAAGCAGCATACAAATGATACGTAGTAAAGCACATCAACACCCTTCACCAGCTGATAAATCGAGTGAGCTGACCAAGGCAGAGCAAGTAGTGGAGACAGATTAGAACCAAGAAAGCCAAACTCCTGTATTACCTCTTTAGTTTTCCCCTAATCAACAAGTCCTCAAAAGATTGATGTGAAGATATGCAGGGCTCAGCAAGACACAAAATTACTGAAGAACAGTCACTCCTTTTATTTTTAGTCTAAAAGCTATGATCACCAAGCCGCTAAAAAGATGCTTTCAGTAGATATGAAAGCCTTTCATATAACCTTCAGCTGCATTCAGTTTCTAAACAAATAAAACAGAATGGCAGAGAAGATGAGAAAAATCATATTTACAAGAGGAAAGAAAATAACTTACTTTGGGATTTTATTTCATGAAGAGGTTTTTTATCTAGAGAGAGAAAGAGACAGAGACAGAGAGAGAGAAAGTTGCACTTAATAAATTTACATGGAGCATATCTATTTCCTACATCACGTCTGTCTAGCTCTATAAATGAAACATTTTCTCTGTATTTGCTGACAATATGAATATTTTACGTTGTCCACGTATTTTTTTTTTTCACCTTTTTTCTAAATCTCTTTTGGGAAGTTCTTTTTCAGTCATTTCTCACTTGGTTTATTTGAATATTTGTTAGCTTTTTTTTGGATGCTCTTATTTAGAGCACAGTGCATCCAACAGGGAAGTTCAGTACATGGTAATGGATCACTTGACAGTCCAGTTATGAATTTTTTTCTTTGTATGCTTGATATATTAAAAAAGTTGGTGACATTTTGAAAAATTACCCCTCAAAATATACAATATACTCATATTTATGTCTCTATTAAATACACAAAACTACTGACCTGTATACTTGCATAAAAATAACGCACAGAACCAACGCACTACCTGAACACGTAAGTATGTATTTGCAAATGCGAAATCAACTTCATCAAGCTGGGTTTTTACCCTACTAAAGCATGGACTGGGCTCTCTGGATCCATCCACAGTCAATCAAAAACCAAAGCAAGAACTGGGAAAAAGTGACGTTCCTGGGACTGAAAAGATGCCTTCTTCCTGTTACTCCCAACTTCTCTGATCAGGGACTGAAGAGGGGATAACCTGAGCATGCACAGCCCCCGAATTATTGCTGTTTCATTCATTGACTCCAAGTCAGAAAATTCACACTGGGGATTAGAACTGTTCCTGCTTGTTCAGAACACGGCCACGTATCTCCAGCATCTTATGTTCTTCCCTTTACTTTCATTAGAGTTCCTCCTCGTTAACCAGAGGAATGTTTCATTTCTATTTTTGCCTCATGAAAGGAACAAAGTTAACAAGTTGTGCCTGATAAATAACCTCCAAGAGATTAGTTATCTGAAGCTCTGCACTGCATTTCCTTCGTAATTCCCAGTGGGATGAAAAGCAGAGAAGGAAAGGAACATATCAGAAGATGAGCAGGGAAAAAAAATTCAAAAAATAGGGTAATTGCATCAATTCCTATTAGCTGAGAAAGCAATTATGCTCCTAAAAATAATTTGACACCAGTGTATGTATACAGCACAACCCATAAAGAAAGATGCTCTAAGATGAAAGAAATTAGACATTTAATACTTCAATCTAATTGAATGCACATGGAAATTTCAGAGCCAACACGTTCTCTCTGCTACTGCGCAGCAAAAAGAGGAGCAACAGCTTCTGTGTCATGGGGCTTTGGATTCCTCTTATGCTGTTCAAGTCCCAGTGAAAGTCTGTTGTGTGTAAATACTGAGAAGGCTCTCAACACCAAATTACTGTGCATTGGTACCAGGCCTGTGAGTGCAACTCCAAGCACTCTGCCCTTTTTCTTCTACCTGCAGTAAAACCGATAGAGATGTGACCAAACTTGAAACCTTTGTTCATGCTAAAAGCTTCAGAGAGTTTTGTCCTAAAATACTTCTTGAAAATTCACTCTTGGAATCAGCATTAAACAGAAGAGCTAATCCTTGAAAGAGAGCTGCCTAGAATGGCACTGACCCACTGCACTTCTGTTACATCAGAGAGCAACTGGAGCTGATACTAAAGTGATAACTCAATGCCACAGGGACTGACAGAGGGGCCTGGATGAACTCAGAAGCAGAGAGACTGAGCAGCAGAAGCTGGGAGGGAAAGACTGTTGCCACAGCAGTGCCCAGATGCCCAGTCAGTATCTGAAACAAACTGTGCTACGAAGACTTGGGGAGTTTCAGTGACTGCTGTCATGGAACGAAGCCTGCTCCATCAGGGAATGGTTTTTCCCCAGGCCATATGCTCCTTCCAGGTTACCAGCATGAGCATAATACTGTATTTCTTCCTTTGCCCCCAAAGCATAGCACAGGAATGCAGAACTGACATGCAAGCACACAGCACGCGAGGATATCACCCCCAAAGTAGGACAGGTGGTCTTCACCACCTTGCAGGGTCATTAAGGAAGCACGACCTAAATGGGTTCTCCTTTTATTAAGGAGATGCCTTCCAGACACTTAATAAGGGCAAATCCTGTCCCAAGGGACTGACTGTGAAGTCGGTTTGCCTTTGTTTATTACTCGCAAGAAACTGGAAATCAGCTTTGACCCGAAACAGCTCTTGCACGGTATTCATGTTGGTGCTTTGCCAGTTCACTTGCATTAAGAAGTAGGAAGCTCAGTAGCACTTTCTATGAAATATGTTGTAGCAGATGGTCATAATTACACATCGAAGAAAACCTTTACTTGCATTTTCAGTCATCTGATAATGAATAGGTAAAGCACATGCTACAAAAAAAAACAAAAAAAAAACCAAAAAAACACCCAGCAAAACCACCCATAGGAGCTCTGCTGACACAGATGTGAGGCAGATCCACCACAGTACCTGGATTGCCCTATCTGTGTCAGGCTGCACAGTGCAAACTGTTACCCACCTTGAATGCAAAGCCCTTCAGTGCAGTTCTCTGACTCCTGGCTCAGGCCCTCGCAGTACTTTCCTCCATTTCGTGGAGCTGGCGCAATACATTCCCGAACCCTCAAATGCTCACACTCCGGGCTGCACACAGACCATTCACTCCACACCTCCCAGTTTCCATCCACTGAATGGGGAGGGGAAAAAAGAAGCAAACATTGTCATTGCTTACCGAACTGATGCAGTTCCAAGATCCTACAAAGAAAACATGTTTTATATCTCCCCTCCGGTTGCACCAAGTAGAACGCAAGGCTATATTTATTTCTCAACAGTTGTACAGCATCAGATGTGAAGTTAAAATGCAGCATTAAAATGTGTCGCCTTGAATGTAAATGTAGAAGCTTTTAGAATAGCACCAGTGTGCAACAGTCTGCAAATGTAGTCAATTAAAACTGCAGGAGGAAGTGTTTCTGGTGCCACCTATTAGCTTCTAATGCTTCAGTACCAATTCTGCCTTAAAACAGGCTGATGCAAAGAGGCCACACATTAACCTACCAGAGAAACGATGCTGACATTGACACAAAAAGCACAGTTGGCCTTGCAGATCTTTTGCTAATGCCCTGTGCAACATGAAAAATCAGTATGGTGCTTTGCTGACTGATATTTAGCTGTGTCTGACCCTGTCCCAAATGAGAAGGGATTCCAGAGTCTCCATTTTTTCTCATGCATAAGACTGAAGAAAAAAAATCAGATCGAGAGACAAGTACAGAAAACGTTAATTTTTTTAAAATGCCAGTTCAGAACATGTTGTATCAAAAACTCATAAAAGCTAGAAGAGAGATTTGCCAAAGGGGCTGCGCTGTGACCCCAGGCAAACAAGATCTTTGAACTTGAATGCATACAATCCTACTATTGCTTAGTATTGCTAAATTTCCTTAGCAGTACTTGCAAAGCAGAGATTCCAAAATTAGAGAAGGGCAGCTTTGTTCACTTGTACCAGATGCAAGTAGCTTTTCTTCTTTTGTTTTGTTTTTTTAACCTCAGTAGTCTTGTAAAAGCACAACTGCCTACCAGGCATTGCCGAAAGCAAAAGGTCTACCTGAAGCGCGCCATTTAAAAGTGATTCCTTCTAGGACTGTGCATATCTCACCAGGGCAAAGAGAAGTGCAGGTGATCTTCTGCACGGACATTCCTTCGCAGAATGCCCCTCCGTTGAGCGGGGCAGGGTTGGTGCAGGTCCTCGATCGCTTCTGCCAGCCCCGACCGCACCGCGCGTTGCAGTTGGACCACTCAGTCCACGACGACCAGCCTCCATTAACTGCAACACAGAACTGTGCTTGAGGTGCTGAAAGAGGCTCTAAGAGACACGGAACAACAAATCTGCTCATCTGATCGCTTCGTTCGTAAGCAGAATTAGCCTATCGGTATCTGGAATGAGGACTTTGACAGTATTGACAACTTCTGGGAACCTTTCATCACAAACAGGAAACTCATAATTCCAACCACTGTAAAAACAGCCACGACCTCAGCAGAAATAAATGTGACGGAGTGAGGTCAGCCATTTGATTTAGAACCAGTTGTATGTTAAAAACACAACTTCAGGCAGTAAAAGTACAGTCATAAGCTTTTCCATAATTATCAATATATAATTATCACATTTCCACCAACCATAAACCACAACTGTCGCAGACATGCTCCTCCTCTTGGCAACAATGTTGGCAGCCATGCAGGTGTAGTTCCCGGAGTCGGACAGACGCGCCTGCCGGATGATCAGGTTGTGATCTGCTCTGGTGTCGATGTTCTCATCCAGGTTGGAATCTATGGGCTCCTCATTCTTCAGCCATTCCACCTGGAAAGGGAGGGAGGGGGAAAACAAGGTGAGGTATGAAGAGAGGAAGCAGGAAATCCACTTATCTTTCAGTGACTTCACCAATAAATGATACTTCAATCTTTATTATAAACAGTGGAATAGAAGTAAGGTAGGATGAGATTCCCAACAAAGCAGGCATTCACAAAGTCAAGGAAAAAAAAAAATAAAAAAATAATAATAAAAAAAAATCAGTCCTATCTGAAGAGCCTGGAGCTAATTAGCAAAGACACTCCAATTGATATACTGAAATAGGAGAAAATGGCAAAGAGCTGGTTTAGACTTGTAAGGATGTGGGTTATAGAGATATTATGTTTGTTCTACTTGGAAAAAAGGAAGGAAAGATGAGGCAAAAAAGAAAGAGCAGTTAATCACAGCTACCTTACAGAACACAGCACTTCATATGCTCAAACCACCGGACAACGATCAGTTAAATTTCACACTACGTGAGTCTGATATTAATCTAAGCAATGACATTCACCATTCAAATAATTCACAATTAAAGTTCACAACTTGCAAATAAACGGACTCTCAACTTAATTAAACACTATTAAACTAGAACATTAGCATTTGTTTTCAAAGCACATAAATACTGTGGAATACTGTGTGCAATATACTTCTGTACACCTCTAGTTCACTATCCAGCATATTTCTGAGCAGACCCAGAACTTTCCACAAGGCGCTGCTATACCTGAAACATTTAAACCAAGTATTTAAGGCAAGACGAGTTGTAACAGAACTGAAAAATTAAAACTAGAAGCAGAATCTATTGGAAGCCTGAACAAATATGACTCACTTTCATAGCTATTCCAGACCTGAAGGAGGTATGGCCATACCCTGAAGTCAAACACCCTTCTCAGCTCAGTTCTCTTTACTGCATGTAGGACTGCAACAGTTGGTGGATGAAAAACGTTCACATTAATGCAGTGCATTTAAAAGAATGATGTTCACTGTGAAGGGAGAACATTAAACAGACAGAATGCAAACGTAGAATTGTTGAGAGATGTGCCATCAAAAGCTATTTGTAAACAGGGGCATGCATTGCCTTTTGCTTCTTATCCAGAGGCCTGATGGCACTACGAATGCACATCTCTAATTCCAGCACTCAAAGAGAAAAGGAGTGCTTCAACCTCAGCAGATGAATGCTTTCAAAGATGCAAAACCAAGAGATGAATTCAAAGGAAAACCTGATAACTGTAAAGGCTTTACAATGCCAGCAGGTTGTTGAAACTTGCAGTGGTGCAGCCATCAGAGAATTTCATCACACAAACATGTGCAGAACCAACACACAAAAATAATCATGCAAAATAAAGGCAATTAAAGGAAGTAACTGCATCTCCGTATTGAAATGAGGTACATGGGCTGAACTGCCAACCTCCCATCTCAGAACTGCAGACTTAAAACCCCCTGGTATTTAACTTCACTCAATTTTCCACCAGTGGAGGTCATACAGTAGCTCATAACATTCCAAAATACATTTCTTTCTAAGCATTAGCCTGTCTTGAGGCCTTACATGTTTATATCTTGAACTAGGCTTAAAAAGCCTGCCTATAACTGCAGTAAGTTTATAAAAACATATCTGATTTTTTCATCCTGAAATAGATCTGCTCAGAACTCAAATACTGCCATCAATTAGTAAGAAAGGCTAATCACGTAATGATCTACAGAAGAAACGGAGGGGCAGATATGGGTTAATTCAGCTACTACCTATTGGGTGGCAGATGAATTAGCATAATCATAAATTATTCTAATTACAGAAAGCAATTATCAAAGACCAGTATTATAGAAACAAAATCAGTTAAGCACACCATATCCCAGGTAGGTTACCATGGGAGTTAGTGAATTCTTTATTCTCTATTTCCTCAAAAATTAAGCTGATCAGTACTCATCCGTATTTCTTGCCTACCGTGGATAGTACAAAGAAGCCTGACAGTTTCATATCATGGGAACATTTCGTTTGCTGCAGGTGATGGGAGTCTTACTGCATTATGTGCAATGTAAATACAGGATGTATAGCGTCCTCATCTACAGGTACATCTGAACAGCTACTATGGAAACACCTCCTTCCAGCTGCCACCTAGCAAGTCCTCAATGCTCTGGGGACTCACAGGTACCCCTGAAACTATTGGTGGGAGTAGAACCACAGCCGAATCTGAGACTGTAGGTTGCTCCCTCCTTTAAAGCTGCCCATCAGTGGGCTACAGTTGTGGTTTCTATGGGAGCAGAACGTTACACTGTACTTATTCACATTAACAAAAATTACTTTTATTGTTGTTTATAATACCCAATTTAATAGTTAAACCTTGGAGAAAAGGCAGTGGATGAGAAGCATCTCATGGCATGATTTGGTGCCTGAAGGGTTCCTCAGCAGCTGCTGCAATTGAAACACCCCAAGAGCCAACTGGCTGCCCATTACTGCATCTTCTATTCTTTCTAAGGCATCCTGCTTGGGAATACAAAGATTTAACAGCCAGAAAAAGAAATACACCTCGCATCTTTGGGCACACACAATAATCTCATAGGTCAGAAGACAAAATACTTTAGCATTCCTGCCTGTAGATTATACTGTCCTGCCCTTTAAACACAACATCTGACTTTCTCATGTGGTCAATAACCTGAGTACACATATATCAGAGATAATATTGTTAGAATGTCAGCTCCTCTTGAAGAGAGAATCAATCGCTTTCTGTATGCTAGATAAATGCTTCATGATTTTAAGATGGGAAAAGGTCAACACCTGACTAAAGGCAGCACAAATGTTTTTTTAGAGTGCAGACAGTTTACAGCTTTTCTTCGACAGGAGAATATAAGGCGTTAGAAGTAAAGATGAATTCTTTTCTCCAAATAAGTTTCTTTTAATAAAAAAAAGCTTCCAACAGGTTCTCCTGCACATCAAGACAAAGGGAAGGCCTGGAAGGCTTCCAGTACCTTCTCTGCTGACTCCAGAGCGCACCTTGGGAGATTACAGCACTAGGCTAACGTTGCTGTGGGTGAATATTCCTCCCACAGTGATCAGCCTGTAGCTAGAAAAAACCCTTTCTACTTTATCACCTTACTGAAAATCTTACTAAAAATGGCTTTCACTGTGACCTACAGTGTTTTATGGAAGGGAGTGAAATCCATTCCCTTCAAGACTAAGCCTGATGTAGCATGAAATTTACATTTCTGAAAATGCAAGTGTCTAGCTTAGGAAACCTTCCTCAGCACTACAGCAGAATGGATGAGGATGGATGGCGCAGCTTCTCTGCTGATAGCGATGAACTAAGATGGCAACAGATCTTTGTTTTGCTTTCTACCCTAATACTCACGCAGATACAAAGGAGAAACCTCCCATCAGCATAAGTCATTGTGGGAGATTAATAACCACAAAAGCCAGTTTGCAGGATCCAAGCGATTCACATCTACCTTCACGACCACATACTATTTTATCAACACAATCAAAAAGCATTGATCTTCCTTGCAAGGGGGCTACCTGCAGAAACACACAGGCAGCAGCAGGTCAACTACCTGCTGAAGGTTTTTAAATTAATCCACCGAGAGAACAGTGTTACCGAATCATTTAATCACAGCACTGTCATGCTGCTCTGGTAAGCATATTTTTCCTTCATTAGATTGAATATATAATCTCGTTACGTGAATCTGACACACCGACCAACTCATAAATCAGCTTGCAGTCTTGTTGGCAATGTGGCAACGGTACAGGAACCTTCTCTTTGAAGAGATGCTCTCAGTGGTTGCAAAAAACCTCAAGGGCAGTGTGCTGCTAATGCATTTCCTTTCTGCTTGTTTTGCTCCAGGTACCTTGCAGGGGAGCTTAAGCCTCAAGCAGCAAATAAGTCCAGGGAGGCTGCCCTCCCATGCAGGACAGACAGCATTGCTGTCTTCTCTTCTGGAGCCTGTTTTCAGAGCCACATCCAATCTGCAATGAAGCATTTTTGTGTGATTTAAAACCTCAAACAAACTGATATTGGTGAACAATCAAGGAGGGGGAAAAAGGGGAAGGTAAGAAAATAAACATGTATTTCATGTATGCTCTTGTGTAAATATAATGGGAAAGATACATGGCTTGTATGTGCTTCTCCATTTGTAATGCTAAAGATGAAGGTGAGCAACAGGTTGACTCAGACCTGCTATTTTAAACCATTGTTAAGAACACACGTTCCTAAATGCACTGCTGCTAATGGTAGGTTGTCTGATGGTTAAAAATAAAAGAATCAGCATTAAAAGCCAAAGCTTTTCTTTCTCTAGATAACACAAAATCTAAGGGCATATACGAATCCACAGACATTGTTTTACAAGTGTGCTGCACAAAGCGTGCGTTCCTCAGTGCTGTGATGTGGGATGCTCAGAAGGAAACAAAGAGCCCACAGCACTGATGTTGTGTTCACAGTGACACCAAGCTTTTTTTTTTTTTTTAACCAATTGCTTTTGTAAGTGGCATTCTTCCAATACAACTTCCAGAATGTAACTGTGAGACACCTCTAAAAGAAACCCCTTTTTATCCATTAGTGAACCCTCCTGTTCTACACACTAAAAACGTATCTAAAAACCAACTCTCTCTATATGAAAAAATACAATTGCTAGTTAACAAACATGCTACTCGTGCTGTGTCACTGAACACAGCCAAGCAGACCTGCAACAGAAATAACTTCCTACGTTAAACGTATACCTATGTGTCCAGAGAGATAAAACATTGCTGGAATCTGTGATGTTATACAATATCAGTTCCACAGTACTTCACTGATACTCATTTTGGATGATAAAGTGACTATAGCACAAGTATACTGCACCAGCAGAACCTGAATAGAGAGAACCCTTGTTAGCTTAGATAAGAAGGTGTTTTGTGAGAAAGAACCACAACTAGAAAGTGCAGTAACAAATGCAACTGCTACTTTGAAGTCGTAAACCACTTAGATATCTGCCAGGGGGCATTTTCTCATAGCAGCTTGGCTGGATAGGTTGAACATTTCAGCCTCCTAACA